ATGTAAAGCTGCCTTGAAATAATTTACTTTTCACAAATAATTACAAATTTTCTTCAAATGTGTACTGAAATTCTCTAGATTTTTTAGCTCACCTGACACGAAGTGGTCAAGGTGAGGTATAGTGATGGGGCTATGTCCGGCGTCCGTCGTCGTGCGTTGTGCGTCGTGCGTCGTCAACAATTGGGTTGTTAACAGTCTAGCAGTCACAGTTTTGATTGGATCATCATCAAACTTTGTCAGAATGTTTGTCTCAATGAAATACAGATCGAGTTCGAAGATGGGTTATCTCGGGTCAAAAACTAGGTCACTGGAGCTAAAAATAGAAAAAGCTTGTTAACGCTCTAGAGGCTGCAGTTTTCATCCAAATATTCTGGAAATTTGTTAGGAAGGTTGTTTTAATGATATCTAGGTCAAGTTCGAAGATGGGTCATCTCCGGTCAAAAACTAGGTCACAGGAGCTAAAAATAGAAAAAGCTTGTTAACACTCTAACAATTGGGTTGTTAACAGTCTAGCAGTCACAGTTTTGATTGGATCATCATCAAACTTTGTCAGAATGTTTGTCTCAATGAAATACAGATCGAGTTCGAAGATGGGCTATCTCGGGTCAAAAACTAGGTCACAGGAGCTAAAAATAGAAAAAGCTTGTTAACACTCTAAAGGCTGCAGTTTTCATCCAAATATTCTGGAAATTTGTCAAAAAAGTTGTTTTAATGATATCTAGGTCAAGTTTGAAGATGGGTCATCTCCGTTAAAAACTAGGTCACAGGAGCTAAAAATAGAAAAAGCTTGTTAACACTCTAACAATTGGGTTGTTAACAGTCTAGCAGTCACAGTTTTGATTGGATCATCATCAAACTTTGTCAGAATGTTTGTCTCAATGAAATACAGATCGAGTTCGACGATGGGTTATCTCGGGTCAAAAACTAGGTCACAGGAGCTAAAAATAGAAAAAGCTTGTTAACACTCTAGAGGCTGCAGTATTCATCCAAATATTCTTGAAATTTGTCAGGAAGGTTGTTTTAATGATATCTAGGTCAAGTTCGAAGATGGGTCATCTCAGGTCAAAAACTAGGTCACAGGAGCTAAAAAAAGAAAAAGCTTGTTAACACTCTAGTGCCTGCAGTTTTCATCCAAATATTCTGGAAATTTGTCAGGAAAGTTGTTTTGATGATATTTAAATCAAGTTCGAAGATGGGTCATCTCCGGTCAAAAACTAGGTCACATGAGCTAAAAATAGAAAAAGCTTGTTAACAGTCTAGTGGCTGCAGTTTTCATCCAAATATTATGGAAATTTGTCAGGAAGGTTGTTTTGATGATTTCTAGGTCAAGTTCGAAGATGGGTTATCTCCGGTCAAAAACTAGGTGACAGGAGCTAAAAATAGAAAAAGCTTGTTAACACTCTAGTGGCTGCAGTTTTGATTAAAATATTCTGGAAATTTGTCAGGAAGGTTGTTTTAATGATTTCTAGGTCAAGTTCGAAGATGGGTAATGTCTGGTCAAAAACTAGGTCACAGGAGCTAAAAATAGAAAAAGCTTGTTAACACTCTAATGGTTGCAGTTTTCATCCAAACATTCTGGAAATTTGTCAGAAAGGTTGTTTTGATGATTTCTAGGTCAAGTTTGAAGATAGGTCATCTACGTTCAAAAACTAGGTCACAGGAGCTAAAAAAAGAAAAAGCTTGTTAACACTCTACTGGCTGCAGTTTTGATCTAAATATTCTTAAAATTTGTCAAGAAGGTTGTTTTGATGATTTCTAAGTCAAGTTGGAAGATGGGTCATCTCCGGTCAAAAACTAGGTCACAGGAGCTAAAAATAGAAAAGCTTGTTAACACATTAAGGGCTGCAGTTTTCATCCAAATATTCTGGAAATTTGTCAGGAAGGTTGTTTTGATGATTTCTAGGTCAAGTTCGAAGATGGGTTATCTCCGGTCAAAAACTAGGTCACAGGAGCTAAAAATAGAAAAAGCTTGTTAACACTCTAGTGGCTGCAGTATTGATTCAAATATTCTGGAAATTTGTCAGGAAGGTTGTTTTGATGATTTCTGGGTCAAGTTCGAAGATGGGTCATCTCAGGTCAAAAACTAGGTCTCAGGAGCTAAAAATAGAAAAAGCTTGTTTACACTCTAGTGGCTGCAGTTTTGATTCAAATATTCTGGAAATTTGTCAAGAATGCTGTTTTGATGTTTTCTGGGTCAATTGCTAAGATTGGTCATGTCCGGTCAAAAACTAGGTCACAGGAGCTAGAAATAGAAAAATCTTTTTAACACTCTAGTGGCTGCAGTTTTGATCCAAATTTCCTGGAAATTGGTCAGGAAGGTTGTTTTGATGATTTCTATGTTAAGTTTGAATATGGGTCGTGTCCGGTCAAAAATTAGGTCACATTGCCCAAATATGGAAAAATCTGTATAACACACTAGAGGTCACATGTTTGACTCAGTTGTCATCAAACTTGGTCATGATGCTTGTTTAAGACATTGCTTGGATGCGGTTGTGTCAGGTGAGCGATCCAGGGCCATCATGGCCCTCTTGTTTTTTAATTAACTAAAATTCTCATTAAAACAAAAAACAGGAACAGTCACAAACCAGTTTCCAAGAATAAATAATTAGGTTGAAAATTCCCTTTAGAAATTTTAAAAGGTCTTGTTTACAGAACATCATCCCTTTTACTTATACTGATAAAATACCAAAGGACCACCATAGTTTCTGAAAACTGTCAGTAGGACGGCTGCTCGACTATTCTCAGTGTTTGATAGTGAAACAAGAGCCTGGATAATGAAGAATTTTCTAAGGTAAAAAAAGAGGCCATAAATCTGTCAAAAATGATCAAATCACCAAAACTAGGCATGTGATGGTCATGTTTCTAAGAATATTTGGTTTAAAGAGTTACAGATTATACCTAAATAAAGCCTTTGATAAATGGCACAGACCACAACAATTGTGTGTAGATAAGAGAGGAGAGAACTTTATAGGACTGTAAAAAAAATAAATTGAATAAGACAATAACATGATATTGGAACAAAAACAGTACATGTCTGTTATTATCAATTGCTAGCATTAATTAGGAATGTCATAACTATTTTGTAAAAATTTAAATGAAATTGTTGATATTTCAATAGAATGAATATGAATACATATATTCATCACCTATTACAGTTCTCGTACAATATGTCACATAATTGTGTATCACAGGGAAATATTCAATTCTACTTTTCCAGATAAAAGAATTCCTTCAAAATTGCCAGATTTTCTGTTAGTTAGTTATAAAATTAAAGAAGCTTTTTTGAGGGCATTGTATCACCCTTGTTGCAGTCTCGTGTTAACCATTGTTTATTTCTACACCAAGTTCTTGTTTTTGTATGTATATTATTGTCAATTACACATGTCTATGATAGGAAAATTAACAATTAACTAAAACAATAATTTAACATAGCACACCTGTGCAATATTCCCTATTTACATTCTCCAGACAATGCAGACAGTTTACAATGCAGACAGTAACTGATTATCACCGTAATATTACAGAACATTGTTGACAAAACTAATGATTAAATGATATCTAGACAGCCATGACATGTGTTATGATATGAAAATTATTTATAGACTAGATAGTGAAAATATAGATCAGCTTTCTACATATACATTAAATAAATTGACGCTAAGGCTGAACATTATGTACGTGTTCCTTTATGTCCAGATAAACTAAACTATTTGATGTTAAGGTTGGGTCTGAGTAGAGAGAAAGTTGGATGTTATGTTGAGGGAAGAGATGTGTATTGAAGTTAGGTGTTCAGTTGAGGGAAAAGCTACGTTTTTGTTTTTAGTGTTGAGTTAATTTGAATTTTTCGTGTAAGGTGGGAAGAATTTGGTATTGGAGAAAGGTGGTGAGTTGAGAATCGAGTTGAAGATTGTGAGGGTGGTAGATGAGTTGGTTATTTCAGATTTGTGTTCGGCTGGGGGAGAGTTTTGTGTTGAATTCGGTTTGTAGAACATCCGCAGAACACATCTGCGGATGTTTAAAAATTCCAAATTGTGCCATTTGATGTTAAATGTTGAATTCTGCTTAAGCCAGTGCTAGGGGACGTGGATTGTAGTTTGCAATTCACAGTACCGATCAAACCGAGCCTGCAACATTTTCAATTTTGCCGTGTTGGGCTTTCATTAGGGATTCTTATTTTCCCTATTTTGTATTAAGTAAGGGAAGAGTTGAGAGAAGGTTTAGGTATTGGAGTTGTTTGACTGGTGTGGAGGGTTAAGGGGATAATTGGATGATGAGTTAAGGGATAGTATGTTATTGGAGTTGTGTTTGGAATTGAGTAAGGAAGAGATTGGTATTGGTGTTAATGGGCGGGTTATGTGTTAAGGGGATAAGGTGTTGAGAAATGTTTGGTGGGGAGTTGTGGGGATTGGGTATGGTATTGAGTTTTTATTGGGTTTTGAGTTGAAGGAAGAGTATGTATTCAGTTGACGGAAGAGTTTGGTGTCGAGTGTATGGGAGAAATATGTATTAGATTATCATAGCATCATAGGGAGATTAGATATTAAAGTAAATTTAAATACACAATGTATAATGGGGATGACATATAAATTGTATTTAAATCAACGCAGCATATTATAGGGAGATACACATGAAAATGAATTCGGATTGACACAGCATCAAAGTGAGATACAATAGCGAATCCCTATCATTTTCGAACACATTTAAGTATTAAAATAGTTGATGATTGGTATTAAAACATCCGCAGGTCGTTTTATAAGACGGTTATAGCATAACGTTAACTTAGATACTTTGAAGTATGTCATGAAATATGACATTTGATCCACAAAAAGGAACATCTGCAGAAGATATTAGAGTAGTTGAAGTAAAAAATATAAATAGTTCAGAGGAGGGGGATATGACAGCGAATAGAATTATAAATGTATTTTGAAATAACAGACATGCTAGCTGCAAACTAAGTAGTTTTGGCATATTGAAATAAGTATATTATACTGAATGAACGATTATCAATTAAAATTTATTTATTTTTTTACATTATTACAAATTTTGATCCCGGTATTTTGACATTTAAATATAATTATAGATGTTTAATGTGTACAAACAAAACAGACATATTTTTGCTAAATTTGCAAGTTAATACAGGTTCTCGTTATTCATATCAATAAACAACACTGTAACACTTTTGTCTTTTGATCTAGTTAGTAAAATCTTGTCCATAGATGGAGTGATTGCAATACTCGTAACATCACTACAACACTCTGTTTCGTAAAGTTTCTGTCCAGATGAAGAAAGAACATGGATGCGGCCTTGTCTCTCTGTTACAAAAATGAAACCAGAGTCATGAACAGCAACACAATCAGGAGACTTCAATTTTAATTTGAAAATATCTTTCCCATCCTTCTCAAAACAGAACAAAGAATTCGCAGTTAAGCAACACTGTAAAATTCTATAACCGAATCTGAACTTTTCAGAAGAAAGAACAGCTAGGCTTTTACAGTCTAAAATTGATCTGTTCAAATTCAATTTATCTACCACTTGTCCAGTATTAGATAATATGTGTAAATGCCAACGACCGGCAGAATCACGCATAGAAACCAACATATTTGTATCGTCAACTGACTGCACACACTTGGCTTTATATTGAGTGTCCATGATTCGCACTAATTTAAAAGACGGGTCAAACGAAATAATTGATATTTTCGCAGTAGTTTCATGACAGGCCGCAATAATTTGTCCCTTTAAATGATCTATATTGATCATTTTTGCCGGTAACTCAAATTTGTGTTTCAGCTCTTGTTGTTTCGCATCAAATGTTGTAAGTTCATTATTATGATAGTCACAAACTATGATTCTGTCACTCGATGGTGCCAACACTGATATATTAAATGTTTTTGTTTTTCGCAATGGTAATTTAATTTTGGCTTCACCTGTTATGTTAAATTTCGTATCAGATAATCTTGTGCCAGCCTTTTCTGACACTTCAGATACACCAGAATCATGATTTTGCCTCTCAAACTTTAATATTGCATGTTCAGCACTTTCTGGTCTGATTGTTTCAACAATTTCTTTGTCGTCCTTGTTTTTCTTTTGCTCATCAACATTTATATGCTTTTTAACCATTTTATTTATTTCTTCTTTTAAAATTGAATTGCACGTTCTGTCATGATTTAAATCGTCTTCTTTTTTATTTTCATTTTCCAGAAAGCACACAACTTCCTTATCTCTTTCATTATGTTTATTTGTCTCATTTGAAATAACAGTGTTTTTGTTCCTTTTATCATACTCATTTGTCGTAAATACCGATGACTTTTCACATATTGTAGATGATTCCAAACAGTTGGTATGTTCAAGTTTTAATGATTCTGACAAATGCTCCGCGAGTGGGGACTGATTATTAGCTTCTTTATCATCAAAGATATCATCGATATTCCCGACCTGCTTCAGTTCTGGTTTTCTTGATTGTTCAATTTCATTTTGCTTTATATCTGTGCGTAATGCTGTGTCGTCGTCATTAATACGCTTAAGTGATGGAATTACGTTTAATTCAAAATTAGACTTTGTTTCATTATTCAATTCTGAAGTCTTATCCGCACTGAAATTGTCTTGACTTTGGTGAATTTCAGATGATGGAGGCAAATGCAATGCAAAAGCTGTCGCTGGCGGCTGGAATGGATTAATTACCATTATATTTAATGGTGCTATACTACGCATTATCAAAGGTGGTGGGTAAGGAGGAAGAATTGGACATGCAAGTTTCTGAAAATGACTTCTGGTGTAGTTCATTACGTCAGTATTCGGTATGTTTGTCTGTTGTCTGCATGACATAATCTGACATTGTTCTTCATAAGACATAATTTCTTTCATATAATCTTGGTTACATCTTACATTTTCCATCTCACTTTCAGAATGACATTCATTATCTTTATAATCCATGCCGGCGTTTAAACTATGGTTGTCTGTTATTTTAAGAAACTCTGCGAATGATGTTTTCAATGGAGAAAACTCGGATGCGGGAAACGGAACATAACGTGAACAACGTTCTATTATAGGTTTGTACTGATCTAAAAGCAACTTCATTTCATCTGACACTTTAATCGAATTCTGGCAAATCCAAATTGGTTCCATTTTCAAACCTTGGTTTACTTTCATGGAGCTGTCAAGTAAATTTCCAATGAGCATTATGCATTTGAATACGTCCGTTGCTGAGCCGTTTTCAATAGTACTTTCAAGAAGCGCTGAGGCATCATTGACCTGAAGAAGCATTTTGTTGATTCTTGCTTGAAAATTTTCAAGATTCTGATTTTGTCGTTCTTCATCACAACGGACGCCAAACAGAATTTCGTTTTCTAGTCTTTTGAAACGTTCAAGTACTGCAGTTCTTATTTCATTTAAGGTTTGTATCATTTCCATGTGTTCCTGTCTAGAAGCTGACTGTTGGGCCCTTATTCTTTGCTTGTCATGTTCGAATGTTTGTGTCAATGTTTGTATATCAGTCCTTACTTTGTAAATAAAATCAGTGTTTAAAATTGCGTTTCCTCCATTAGCTACTTCAAATATGTCACGGCAGTTGACCATTTTATGTTGTAATACACAATAGCTACATATTAAATGATAATGTTCCTTACAAAAGAATTCAAGATTTTTTTTAGGGTGATAAATGCATTTTTGAAGATGTTGAAATGCAAGCTCAGCTTCAGATGATACATTCAAGTCTTTTATATTAACGATAAAATGGCACTTTGTTCCTTTGCTGCTTTTATGTACATCTGCACATTCTCGACAAAGTGCTTCTTGGCATGTTTTACAATATCTCATTGATCTAGATAATTTGCCTCTGAAATGGCACGCATCACACATGCTTCTTTCCATGGCCACATATAACTGTCCAAGATTTAAGCTTTTTATTACCTACAATAACAAAAATCATGTTGGATTCGAGCATACTCAAAACAAGATTTTTAAAAAAAGTATTATCACGCTGCTTTATAATTATTCTTACGGTCATATCTGGATATGGAGTTAAAGCAAAACGTTGTTTAATTTTTAATTATCGTATATAACAACAGGATCATGATAATAGAACATAACATATATTCTAAAAGACTTAATTTTTTTATACATGTATGATATCATCTTTATAAACATCAATGATAACCCTAGATCATTCACATGACAAATACCTTTAGCATAAAACAATTTTATTGTGCTTGTCAGTATAAATCGATTGTAAAATAAAAGAACCCTATGGCGGGGCCTAATTTCAATTCTTGGGAAATAATTTGTATGACTGTTGTAGAGGAACACACACTTTAGCTACATGCTAAATATTCAAACCCTCTGCAGAATTGTTTCTGAAAAAAGAAGTTTTGTCTAAATCTATCATGTTGTTATATGAGTGCACTGGGACCAAATCCTTGTAACCATAGATCCAAAAACATGATACTTTTGCTAATACAAATGATCATATACTAATTGTTTGCCGAATTATTTGAAAAATGGTTAAAAGTAAAAACTGCACAGGGTTTGATTTTGAGAATTGCAAACACATCATCACATAACCTTAAGTGAGCATCAAACCATCAAAAGTTGCATAAAGTATAAATAATCATAAAAAATCATTATAAGAGCACTTGTCTTAAAAATGCGTTAAATTGAAAGAGAATGAACTACCTAGATACACTCGATCGTAACCAAAAAATTTGGTTTATCTTTTATGTCTTTTTAGCTCACCTGAACACAAAAATGCTCAAGAGCTTTTGTGATGGCAATGTGTTCGTCGTTATTCACATTTTTTTTATAATCAACATCTCCTAAACCACTTGATTTACATTGACCAAATTTTACATGAATGAACCTAAGGTGGTCTTCTACAAACGATTTATCAATGGTTACAGTCTGGTACATAAGTAGGTCGCAGAAGCCTAAATAAGACTTTAAAATGAAATCTTTAAAAACCTTGTTCTCTTGTTCACATCTTAGTGTTTTGGATGTAGCATTGTCAAGTGAACATCTACCAAAGCTATAGGAGTCATGCCATGGGTAAAAAATGGTCCTAGCCTTGGGGTCACTTACTTTCCAAAGGCTCATAAATAGTAAAATTCTTCTGGCCTAAATTACAAGTGTAGAACTTAGATATTTGGCATGTAACATCACCTTGTGGTCAGGCCTCGACACTAACTTTTTTAGCAGGTGGTACGCCGGACCACTAGATTTGAAAGTTAGGTGGTCCTTCCAGAAGTCAGGTGGTCAGTAATCTTTATTATGTCATTTTACTGCAAATGTAGAAAAAAATGTTTAAACTTTATGACAAAGATGTATTATTAACCTTTAAAGAAAACAGATATTTTTTGATATAAATTTTTCATCTAATCAGAAAAGGGAGAGCAAGTCAGTAGGTATTCTATCGTAGAGATATTTTGTTTCAGTCAAAAAGACATACCGGAGCTCTTATTTATGTTAACTTTTATATTAAAGTGATTTCTCCCTCAACTCAAGTTAGGGAATAGTGAAGCCATTTGTGTCTGTTATTTCTTACTGTTATTCAAATATTCATTGCTGATACGTGGTGCGTCTTATAATCAAAATAATAACATAGCATCTTTTATAGATTAACATTTTAATGGAACTAATAAATTATCTTATCCTTGTTTTTGAAAACAAGGAAATATCTAAATTATTAAAATAATGACAACGTACGTTATTATTTACTATAACTTATCTTATTTTTCTCACAGATTTATAATACAGAATTTTACCTCCCTGTTCCTTGTTGGTTGATATTCATTTTTGACATTGGGTATTTTTAACCTTTTAAAATAATTTTAACTCGAGAAGAAACAGATCTCTTATCTTTAAACAGTTAAAATAAAGATAAATAGCATAGAATGACTAGATGTATTTTTTCCAGTACCTTTAGTTTGCTGCCGTTATTCAAGTATCTGAAATTTAAGTTTATCCTATATCATATAATTACCATCATCGGATACTCACGGTTGATAAGTAACATAACATAAATGTTAATGGTTCCGCGATGCATAATTACTAGCACCATTTGAATGGATTTTGTACCTAAATTTATATCACAGATTCTTAAAGATCCTGTAACACATTTTTTTCATGGTTTTATTTCATAAATATGACGCTCAAATTAAGATTTGTCAATCTTGTAAGTTCAAATAAGCATTTTTTATAAAGATTTTACCCAATTTAACATTTTGCGTAAATAAAGGGAGGTAATTAGAAATTTATTTTCTATAAATTCCAAGTCAAATTTTCCAATAAGAAATGAATGCATGTAACTTATTCATTAAATATAATGTGCACAAATATTTGCAGTACACATTTTACATATTCTTGGATGTTTGAAAATTGTTTTATTTGCATAATTATATACATATATAACATTTTGCAAGTGTATGATACATACAGTAACAATATCAATCACAAAACATACAGGATCTTTAACTCTTTTAACTTGCATAAACAAAATTTTAGCGACTTAAAATGAAAGTTATTGATGACTTAGAACTTCTTGAACTAATCAGAGATTAATGAACCATATAGATTTTAAACAGAATTATATAACATGTTTTTGACCAAATCGCCATTCTCCCAAATGAGCCTTGCATCAACCAGAAAATTCAAGTGGTCCGACGGACCAGTGGGTTTTAAAATTAGGTGGTCCTTGCCAAAATCAAGTGGTCTCGGACCAACGGACCACCGCTAATGTCGAGGCCTGACTTGTGGTGTTTACATAAGTTATATAAATCTTGTCCCTCGGGTAAAATAAGGCCCGATCCAAATGGTAACTTAGTTTACAAAGGCCTAAATATGAAAATACATTTGAATCTTTATTGGAAACCGCAAGGCCCAGGGCTTAGGTATTTGGCATACAATAGCACCAAGTGAACCTTTACAAATTTGTATATATCATGGCCCTTGTGTCAAAATATAAGTCTTCTTTTGTAAAATTACAATGACAAGAGCGTAGGTATTTGTCAATAAGCCTTTCGTAGCAAACATCTACAAATAGTTAAAAAAATTATGCAGCTTATGTAAAAGAAATAACAAAACAAATATAACCACATTTCTGACTTGAACATTGTAAAATAAAAAAAAAATGTGACCTTTTCTAGCATTGTATATCAGGTAAGTGGTTCAGTGCCATTTTAAAAAGTGGTGAGTGCCTAATAAATCGAAACCTAGACTAACTAACTGGTCTAGTAATTAGCAGACAAAATTTCACTTACAAGATTTACGAATTAAATGTGTTCAAAAAGTATTTGTGTCCACCATTTCTTCAACAATTGCAAGACCAGCGGTTCGTCGCCAAAAGCAACCAAACATACACTTTAGGTCCGTAAGTAATTAGTACATGAAAATTAAAAGACACAAAACCTACACTTTAATAAATCCAACTTTCGGTTTGAATTTCAGTCGTTAACTTGAAAGGTGATATTTGTCTAAATATACATGTATAACGTATTCATTTGTATTCTAAATGTTATCGGTCCCTCTTTATCAATACAGACGTGGGGGACAATAAAGGAACAAATCTGTGTGTATTTATGTCACAGGGTCATTTGTCATTATATATACATGTATATACTTTACCATTATTATATCCAATATGATATATAGTGCATTTCTTATAAATATATTTTTCCTTGTCTATCCACTCTTCATCTCATATTTACTCCCATAGCCTCATTATATCTTTCATCATATATCGTACACTAACTATAGTAACTGGTGACGGGCCTCATTTTTTCGCTCATGATTTACCGCCACGCATGCGCACGGCAGATTTGAATTACAGTTGTAGAGTGAAAACCTAACTCCTGTCTTTGTGTTGATTATTTATTTATTTTGCTGCCTCTGTGTGTTTTTACAGGTAATTTACTTATATATGTGTATTGATATATATTCATTCTTCATTTTCTCATTCATCGTTTGTTTCATGATTTTGACGGTTTTGTATATTTATGAAATGCACTGAAGATTTGAATTACAGTTGTAGAGTGAAAACCTAACTTCTGTCTTTGTGTTGATTATTTATTTATTTTGCTGCCTCTGTGTGTTTTACAGTCTCAACCACAAGAGAGAACTTTAAAAACCCTTCGACGAATATAGAAGGTAACAAATTGGTGGCCAGTGTGACTTTTGTGTTTTTGGGGCGAAGCCGTTGTGGACGAAACGAGGTGTTTCCCGTGACGTCACAGGACTTCCTCAGAGCAGCCAATCAACGCCATAGCTAGCGCTACACATTTTTCTGCTACGTCACTGCATATACACATGGAATTCCCTAAGTAGCATGGAGTGATTTGTTTTTATTCGTTTATTATATAGATCGATCTAACTCTTCATTTATTTGGATTACATTAATTTTACCGGTTTAATTCAACTAGATATCATCATTTTTAACGCGTCTTCAAATAATTATAGTGCACTTTGTTTACATCAGGAATTATCGTCGTTGGAATTGAAAGTGAAAGTAGACTCTTGACATTTAACAGATTGTGATTTACCAATAAGCTTTTGTTTTTCTAGTACACATTTTGTAACAGTACATCATGTAGTTATATATTTCATCTTCATATAGTCTTTTACTGAATTAGGATGTAGTGAAACTTTTCATTTATACTTGAGTTACTGTTTGTTTACATTTTATCATACATGTACATTGTGTAATTGTTTACATTATTTTTTCCAGAACTGAGTGAATTCATTGATTTTGTCAGCTGCCATTCACAGTAACAGACTCACAGTAAAGCATGTAGCATTTCACAGCAATTGGTATTGGTGAGATTAATATTAACATAAATAATATATTCCCTTGAGCCCTATATCTTTGTAAACTTTGACTGATATTTACTAGTAGATCTACATATTCATACTGTATCCTGTCCTTACACAGCCAGCTGTTTTTCCTTTTGGTATTTTTTGCATACTTTTACATTTTGGCATTAATAGTTTCGCATAGCGACAGCTGGTAAGTTTAAAAAAAAAAAGAAAAAAAAAAAGTGGTCTGTCAAAATTCATTTAATTTAACTGTAGGTTATAGTATTCATAAATAGTATTTTTACAGCCCTGTGACAATATTGACAAATTGACTTTGACGGTTGACTTTATTATTTTGTAATGGATATTTTCTATACCGGTTAGTACTTTAGGTGTTGAACAGGAATGAGTTAGTTAATGCTGTAGTGCAGAAGATGGTCACAAGTTATTTCACCAACAGCTATGAATATAAATCAGTGTGAAGAATATTTTAGTTTGAGCTAAATATTGTTCAAATAAATGAAATTGTAAATTGGTTTAATTGATTGATACAAGTTACTGAAACCAGTGATAGTTTATAACTAGTATATGTTATAAATTATTTAGCTTGAGAAGATATATACTTGAAAGCAGATCTTGTTTGATATTGAGTCAGATAAGTGCTGCTAGCAAGACAGTTTGCGCGAAATTTTGTTGAAGTTGTTTCATGTTTTTGTTGATGGAAGTATTTTTATTTGGAGCTGCTGGCGAAATACTGTAAGGAAAGGTATTGTGAAATGTGAAATGTTGTTATATTAAAGCAAATAGAAACTGAAGTTGGTTTTGTGTTTTATTTTGGTAAATGTTGATATAGTTTTGACCTTGAGGAGAAGTTGTGCTACAGTGTTTATCTAAAGGGTAAGGTATACTAGTGGTGTCAAAAGTTTGTCGCCTAATAGTAATGTGCTGAATTTGTTGTTGCACTTGTTTGTTATACAGGTACTTTTAAAAACAGTTCTACCAGATAGTGGAAATTTCTTTTGAAATTTATTGAAAGTATGGTGTACCAGTAGGATCAAAAGAATTTGATTCTTGTTTGTTATTGCAATTGTTTTATATACAGTTACAATACTTTAACCTGAGATAGAGTTCTACCTGTATAGTTGATATTTCTTTTATTTTTTTTTAAAAGAAATATATATGGTGTACAAGGGGAGACATAACATTTTTTTTGAAATGTAAAGTAACTACACCTAGTACTTGGTATTAAAAGTATATAACTTTTAAGAGGTATTTGTTTGAAATATCATTTTTGTACATTGTATAGAAGTGATATTATTTGATTGAATTGTGTGATTTTTATTTTTGCACAATTCTACCATAGTTGTCACCTTGTTTGTCAATTTTTGTCGTCATGGATTTGAATAATACTGCATCAGGCTATACTGACCGTGAACTTGAACATTATGCTGATATTATCCGTCGTTCGGGAAAGTTCCATCTTTATTATGTGGAATCTAGCACACCAGCCCCTCCTACTTTGCCCAGGGAAACCTCTCATACCCCTGATAGAGAATTTGCTGCTAGATATAGCACTGGTACCCCTTTACCAGGAACTGGTGCATGTGGTACCAGCCATCCCAGTAGGCATTCTTTGTTTAATACAGGTTCCAGGAGAGAGTCTTCATGTACCCCTGCTGCCAGATATTCATTTCCTAAACCTTATGTGAATACACACACTGTTGATAATAATCCACTTCCTCCACCCCCTATACCTTCTCCACCCATACAGTATTCTTTTTCTCACTCTAATGGTTTACAGCAACCTGCTCAATTTTCTTCTAGGGTACCTAAGTTGCCTGAGTTTTCTGGTGAGGATCCTGATGATTGTGCTTTTGATTTATGGAGGTATGAGATCAACTGTTTGATCAGGAATGGTGTGTATCCTGAACATATTTTACTTGAATCCATCAGGAAGAGTCTGAAGGGTAAAGCCCGTACAGTTCTTTTACATCTTGGAGAGGATGCTTCTGTTCAGGATATTTTGTCTGAATTGGAGGGTATATATGGTAATGTCTCCAGTGGTGAGAAGCTGAAGGAGAAGTTTTATTGTGCTCAGCAACTACCTGCTGAATCTATTGCAGATTATAGCCTTAGATTGGAACAGCTTTTGTCCAAGTCTAACATTAGGTTTGAGCAGTCCACCAAGAATGAGATGTTATGTAATAGGTTGTGGTCTGGGTTGTATGACCAACATCTCAGAAGTGTATCTAGGTATAAGTTTGAAAGTATCCATGATTATGGAGTACTTAGGAAGGAGCTCAGACAGATGGAACAGGACTTAGAATTAAATAAGAAGAGTCCATCTTCTCTCACACTTCCAGTGAGTAAGGCTAAGTCCTCCCATGTTGTTCAATCCCCTGAGGGTAAGAAAACTCCAGATGTCAAGGTTGAACCTGCTTCCCTGTTAATGTCATCTGTTGAGAATAAGATTCTTCAACAGTTACAGGATTTGACCAACCAGATGAAGCAGCTGAATTCCAGGGTTGGCACTGTTGAGAAGGAACTTCAGGGTTTGAAGAAGTCCAGAAGCTACCAGGGTGGATACCAAGATAGGAGCAGATGGAGTGATAAGAGTAAGGAGCAGGGTCCAGCCAAAGAAACACCTAAGGCTAATGACAAGTCTGTTGCAGATAAGGTTCCAGAGAATCCTTTAAACCGGAAGTGACCTTCTCAACAGGGCCAACAGGAGGTCAGCCATTTTTTAAAGGCCCATATATTGCACCTTTGGTAGGTCATGCCAATGAGGTTGAAGTTCTCATTTGTGACACTTCATGTAAAGGTCTTCTTGATTCCGGAAGCATGGTTTCTTCTATTAGTGAATCTTTTTATTCATCTTTAGTTCCTAGACCAGAACTTCACAGCCTTACAGATTTTAGTTTGGATATTTCCAGTGCTAATGGTTCTTCTGTTCCTTACATTGGTTATATTATTGTTGATATTGGTATACCAAAGGTTGATTTTAACCCTGTTTCTGTGCCATTGTTAGTGGTTCAGGATACCAAGTATTCTTTTTCAGTTCCTTTAATTGTAGGTACCAATGTTTTAAATTTTCTTAAAACTTTGGCCCCTACCTGTCAGGTACCAGCTGAATGGAGTGATGTTTTTACTGTTTTATCTTCTGTAAATTGCCTTCCTGTCAGAAGTCTTAGTGATATCAGTGTTCAGATCCCACCTTTTGAGACCAAAACTGTTATTGGCAAGGTTCGCAATGTTTGTAATATGTCTGAAGCTGTTACTGAGAATATTGACAATAATGTATCAGTATCTGTTTGTCCAAACCTTGTTCATGTGAAACCTACAATTTCTTTTTGTAGGATACCTGTGAGAATGTGTAATATGTCTGCCCATCCTGTGGTCATTAAACCCAATTCTCTTCTTTGTCGTCTTCAAGATGTAGATGTCGTTAGAAGAATAGATCCTTTTGAAGGTTCTACTGCCAAGATGAACAATGCAGACAAGTCACTTGAGGATTTGGGTATTTCTGTTCCTACTGATATTCTTACAGTAGATGAACATGTTAAGGCCAATGAATTTTTCTCTAGTTGGAAACATATCTTTTCATCAGGCCCAACAGATCTTGGATGTACCAATATTGTAGAACATGGTATTGAA